TTTTAAATCTCCTATGATTGACTGTTCTAACAAGCATGTTCCTCTTTGATACTATTGTTCTCATTATAGGCCCATCTGTGTTTGACTGAAAGTCTAGCCACAGAGGTGAGCTCAGTTCCATTCAGGTTTGAAGGAGGTTTTACCAGTTTCTATTAGACCAGGAATGAAAGATGTGCCTTGTTTATTATTTTAAGTTTTGTTCCACATTTCCCTCTCATTCTATCCAGGACCTCCGACTTTGATCCTTTTCAGAGAAGTCAGCAGTGGTAGCTAAACACCATCTAGTTATTCTGGACTGAGGGTTGTGAAGGCTGGAGTTCATGTGGTCCATTAGCTCTTTACACTAATTGTTTCCATGCATTTTTAAAAAATTTCTTTACTTTCATTTACTCCAGATGTAGATCAAACAATAGTTGCCCCTTAAATGGTCACTGTCAATCTTTTAACACGCCCTGTCACTACTCACTAAAGTAGAATATAGAACCTTGTCTTGGTGAATTTTATTATGCTTTGTGCTCGCATGACTATAGGGTGAGCCCCCATGCCCGGCAACTCATTTCCTTAAGGTGTTTGGTTATGACTAAAAAATTTTCCTCATTTTGCCCCCTATAGGATCAACCACATACATAGGTATGTTTGCATCAAAGGTAAATACTCATGCACAAATATCCTCTGTCAGAGTCTTACCTATTTGTGGGTATTCGCCCACTCTCCCTCCCATCCCATTCAGTATTTGTGACTGTCCTATATTGCTATGTCCAACTTTTTGAGGAAGTGCCATACAATTTTTCACAGTGGTTACCCCATTTTACAGTCCCACTAGCAGTTTCAGAGGGTCCCAGTCTCTTCATATCCTCATCAGAATTTCTTGTTTTCTGTGTTTTGAGCATTAATGTTAATGCTGAAATGAGATGGTATCTCGCTGGATTGAAAGGTTGATTTGAACCATAAGGTTCAGTTGTTCCTCAGAAACCCTATAGAGAGGCCGTGAGTCAGAACCAAGCTGACAGCACTAACAAAAATAGAAATAATAGTTAACAGGAGTCCTGGTGTGGGATAAACACTGGGCTGCTAACCGCAAGGTTGACAGATCAAACCCACCAGCCGCTCCTCAGTAAACCTATACAGGGTTGCTATTAGACAGAACTGATTTGCCAGCTTTTAACAGCAAAAATAATAAAGATTAACTATCGAGAACATTTCTTCATGTGTCTGTAGGCCAGCTGAATATCTTCTTTGGTAGTGTCCCTTCAGGTCCTCTGCCCATTTTTAATGAAAAAAATAGGGACAAACTTAGGGACTCTGATATATGGCATAAGTATATCATTTTCTTGTAGAGGTGTTGCAATTTTTTATAAATTTTAGAGGTTAGTCGTTTGTCATAATATTTTTGCAAAAATAAAAAGTTATCAATAATTACATTGAGTGTCAATGGATTAAATGCAGCAGTCATTTGACTTGAGTTAGCCCACGAAACTATGGTCCTAAGTTTTCAAACCCAGAAAACCAAACTTGGAAAGTATTTATGTGTGAGGAGTATCTGTATTTGTGTTTTCAATGAAATTATGTGCCTGAACCTACACATTTGTATTTATACATAACCTTCTGGTGTAGTGCTGTAGGATAAGCATTGTACTGCTAACCAAAAGGTCAATGGTTCAAACCCACCTACCACTCCTCAAAAACCCTATACAGGGTCGCTATGAATCTAAACTGACTGACGGCACTTAACAACAATACAACACAGGCCATGGTTGTGCTGTAAGATAAGCACTGAACTGCTGACCACAAGTTCAACAGTTCAAATCCACCATATACTCTATGGCAGAAAGATGAGGCTTTCTGCTCCTATAAAGACTTACATCTTTTAAAACCCTATTCTCAATGGTAGTGAGTATTTTGGTTTATAGATATTTCTAAAAAGTCTTTATGGCACTGTGGGTTAGGTGTTTAGCTGCTAACTGCAAGGTTGGTAGCTCAAACCCACAAGCCACCTTGTGGGAGAAAGATGAAGCAATCTGTACCTGCGACAATTTATAGTTTCTGAAACCCTGTAAAGGATCACTATAAGTTAATGGCAATAGGTTTGATTTTGGTGTATAGATACTTCTTCGATCTGTTTATACCAATGTACACACCTGTACTGACCCATATATCAATGTCTTTATCCATCCATATGTGCTCAAACATTCATTCTATTTTGGTTATAATGTACTTACTATGATGCCACTTTTCCCATCACCAAAAATAACAAATCTCTATGATGTAAAATATACATTCCCTTTTCCTTCCCTGGTAACTACCAGTGACTATTGGTCTTTCTATCGATTCCTGTTCTTGTCTTCTTATAAAAGAGAGATCATATAATATTTGTCTTTATAACCTTGACTTATTTCACTTAGCATTATGCTCTGCAAGTCCATCCATATTGCAATATGTTTCATGGACTCATTAATATTTTAATGATTACATAGTATTCTGTTGTTTGTATTGACAGGGCTTCCAAAAGTTCTTAGAACAATTCCATTATCTTTTAATCCAATTTTTCCATGAATTTTTTGAGGCCCCATAAGATGTACCACCCACCACTTGTCTGTCAGTTTATCATACTCTGGTGACTTGCATGTTGCTGTGATGCTGGAAGGTATACTACTCCTATTTTAAATACTAGCCAGGTCAGTCATGGAGGACAGGCTTCAGCTGAGCTTCCAGAAAAAGGAAGACTATGAAGAAGGATAAGTAGTCTATTTCTGAATGGTTAGTCACTGAAAAACTTAGGCAGAGCAAAAGGACATTGTCAGATATAGTGCCAGAAAATGGAAACATTATGAATAGCATTAAGTATTGTCAGATGTAGTGCCAGAAAATGAGCCTCTCAGGTTGGAAGGAGCTCAAAAGAAGACTGGGGAAAAGCTGCCTCCTCAAAGTAGAGTTGACAGTGATGATGCGAATGGAGTAAAGCTTTTAGGACCTTCATTTTCTG